CGCCCGAAAGGCTTACCAAAAAGGGTTGAAGCTGTCGCAACATTTGTCACATCTGTCTGTATCGGATCGTTGCCCTCCTCATCTTTTTAGTGCCTCTTCAAAGTCTTCTCTTTTTTAGGGTCTTTCTATTTATACCGGTAATAAGTCTCTCAAATAGGCCTTTTGGGCCGGATCTCTCATAGGTAAACTGAAAAATGTACAAGAGCTCCGGTAAGGCTCGCATAGGCTATGGCTCTTTGCTCCTCTCCAAACTGTCTTTTATACTTTTGGATTGAGCCATCAAGTTTGTACATCAATTTATAATCTGATTTCAATCCAATTAGTTTTTGACCTTTACACAATTCAATAAGTAGCCATGTTTTGTTTCGTTCCAAGGTCTTTATTTCTTCATCCATAGTATCACACCACTCTTTCGAGCTTGCAACATCTTTAAAACAGCTAGGTTCTTGAATTTATGCAATTATGAAACATTCAATTCTTTAGTAAATCTCCTTCAAAGATCCCCACTTCTTTGGAGGGGTATCACTTAAGCTTGACTATTGGAGGGCTGGTTGGGCTAGATGTACTTGAAAGGTCTGAATCATCACAATTACCATTCGTCGGAACTATTGGAGTATTACAAATGTCATCATCAGCTTCAAACAATTCTAAACAGTCATTTTTCTTATCTCAATTCCATTTACTTTTCTCATCAGACACAACATTACGACTAATAATAACATTTCTAATGATAGGATCATAAAAATGATACCCTTTCATTTCATCACTATAATCCATAAATATGTATTTAACACTATTTTTATTAAGTTTGCATCTTTTTTGAGAAGGAATATGAACATAAGAAATATAGTCAAAGACTTTGAAATAGGTTATCTTTGGCTTCCACCCATTAAAAGCCTCAAAAGGTGTTTGATTTTGTAAGGCTGATGTAGGGCTCCGATTGAGAAGATAAACAGCTGCGTAAGCAGCTTCAGTCCAAAAACATCTTGGAAGAGCTTTTGCACTCAGCATGCATTTTGCCATCTTCACTAGATTTTTATTCTTTCGCTTCGCTATATGGTTTTTTTGGGTTGTGTAACTAGCTACCAAATTTTTTGAATGCCACAATCTTCATAAAAATCATTAAATTCAGCTGAAACAAAATTACCTCTGCGATCACTTATGTGAATCTTCAAAGTATTCCTACTTTACTTCTCAATATAATTTTTAAATTTCTTAAAAATAAGAAAGGTGGCAAATTTTTCTGTCTCAGAATAGACCCATGTCATTCTGCTATAATCGTCAATAAATATAATTAAATGTAAACAATTATTTAGTGAAAGAATTCTCATAAGATCGCATAAATCGGCATGAATTAGCTCAATTGGACTTGATGGTCTTCTTGTAAGTCCTTTTGGAAATGCATCTCGATGTTGTTTTCCGAACATACAGCTTCCACATATGTAATTCACATTCTGAATTATAGGCAAACCATCCACCAAAGCTTGATACGACAAAGATCTCAAGTTATTAAAGTTTAAATGCACATACTCATGGTGTCATAACTAACCATTATCATCCGAGGAGATTACTAGTGCTTGATCTTTGCACTCCAAAGAGAGAGAAACCTTGTTGTTATCAACCATAAACATTTTGAACATAATGTGCTTCTTAATTTTATCAGAAAAGAAAACACGACATATCCTCAAAAATAAGTGTAATACCCTTCACTTAAAAATTGCTCCACACTCAACAAACTTGAATCCAAGTCAGGTACATAAAGAACATCATTAATATAGCTGAAAATACTAGAATTTACATTGACGGTCTCTTTTCCACGTGCTTCATGAATCATACCATCTCACATCTTCACCCATTTCTTGATTGTCTTATCTATGCTAATGAAAGCATTCAAATATGCTATCATACGATTACTATAACCGCTGTCCATGTACCATATATTTGACAAATATCTATTTTCAATAATATAAGCAAAAAATAAGCTTTTAGTCTTACCTTCTCTCTCCATCTCTTCAGTAAATTTTGCATGTTCAGCTTTGAGTCAACAAATATAACGACCCCGAAAATATCCAAAGAAAATAAAAGACAATTAAAGTGCAGAAGCATAATAAATATTCAGGGTTTACATTCCTTACACAAATAACTTAAAATTACAAACAGCATTACAGAATTTGCTCTTTTGAAAGAAACATAAGAATAAGGAAATAAACGAGAAATAAAGAAATCTAGCATCTAGTCGCAATCTTCCTGCAGATCGGGCTCTGAAACGTGATCATTTTGATCTGAAATGGTTAAATAAGGGATGAGCTATACTAGCCCAGTAAGGATATCATACTATATTACCGACACAGACGTAAAGATTGGTATAAAATCAATACACTAATGGAGCACTTAATTTAAATAAATTCGTTTATCATAAATAAAATCATTTATCATTCATTTACCGTAGTGGAATTCATAAAAATAAGCTATGCAGATAATTAATATCATACAGATATAGTTTCATGTAAAATCAGCAACATAGCACATATCACAAATCTATATACATCGTCAATAACCCAAACAATAACTGTCACTTTTTCACTAGCCTACTAGTATCTATGGGGGTTCATATGGATGTCCCCGCTACACGCGAACCCTTTCCTTTAACAATCTCAATTACGGGCTGTCCCCATACCCCGTCCGATATGAGTGGTAAATCATTAAACATCAATACCCTGTCTGGTATGAGGGTGAAGTGGGCTGTCCCCATACCCTGTCTGGTATGAGTACCAAATTATCATGTCTCCATATCCTATCCGGTATGAGACAATGTTCATAGTAGGATTTCCTATGTACCCAGTCCGTCCACCATCTTACAGGATATCCAGTAAAGCTGTCATCTTCATCTATTCATCTTCCCACACAACTTTTCCATTTTTCGTTAGTCTCCATTTTCCAAATCAATCATAATCATACAAACAAATAAACATGAATCAGGGAATACAATCATATCTCAATTTCTCAATTAAACGGTGATCACGTAAGGCAGTAATACGTGCATTCAAACTATAAAATTGATAAATCAGATACTATCATGCCTTTAAACTGTAAAATAAATCAACAGAAATCAACATAGAATAATTTTCGGATTTGGCTCCATTAGCAATCCATAATTAATTATGCACATTTATTAAATTCGTACAAAATACTACATTATTATTTATGTAAACTTCAAGTCTACGATAGGGAATAGAGTGAGGGATCCGTACTCCATTTGATGTTTGAAAATGTAAGTTGTTCGACTGCGCCTACGGGTGATTTTCAGTTTCTCTGAATTTTTCTTTGTGAATTAAAACGCGTTAATAGTATCTACAAATGTCCCAAATAAACCCAAAATCAATCCTGGGGTCCACTTGGATAATTTCAAAATTTCGGCACGGCTGCTCTACCGTGTTCCGGCGACAACGCCGCCGCCCGCGTCAGCGATTCACCTCAGG